CTGGAACTTGGATGAAAAGTTGGGTGAAGATAGGTAGAACTCTAAAATTGTTGAAATTATATTTCCAGCATACAGTCAAAGAGATTCATAATAGTATGTAAGCTGAGTTAGAGAAAAATACAGCCAAGTTTATTTCTTGCACCCTGAGTATTTAAGCTGTAAAAGATAGTGGAGTTCAGAGAAGTCTTCTAGAGGGAGGAGGTATCTAAACTAGGATATAAAAAGAGTGAATAGAACTTAGGCTACCTAAAATATTTTTATGTAGTCCTTGATGATGTGTGGTCTAGATTTTGTATTTGTCAGTTGGAATGTGTATTATGTATGTTTATTATGGTAAAATCTCTGGCAAATACCCTCTTAAATAATTTTTACTCAGTGTCTGCATTTATTTCACAATGATAGGGAATAATGAAACTATGTTTTTGAATACACATATAACAAGAGTATACATTATTTTTCAGTTTATAATAATGTGCTTGGCCCTTAGTGATTTTATTTTACTGATGAAAAATTGGATCCCTAGGCCCTGCCAGGCTCTCTGGGCTCATGCCATTCCACCCCTACTTGTTTACTGTGTTTTAACCAGGCTGACCTTTCAGTTCTTCAAATGTGACAAGCTTCATCTCTCCCCAGAGCCTTTGGAATAACAATTTCTTTTTCTTTATACTTTCCCTTTCCCCTAAAACATTGAACTCACCTGTACTTACAGACTTGTATAGTCACCTGATATGATTACCTTGGGAAGCCATATACTTATTTCTTGATACTACTCCTGTAGTCTTGTGCAAACAAATTTGGGACTTTCCTTTAAAACCCATTCATAAGCCATATCAGAAAATCCATTTTGTTAGCTTGTATTCACACTTTGTTTTTGACCTAAAGTGGTAGTGTAATGTGAAAATCTCACTCTGCTGGATTTCAAATGACACTTGTCTGTTTCCAGAAATTAAATCCATCTTTAATGAAGAAAGAGGTACAGCTGTTGAACATCTTCAAGGGAATGAACCATGGATTCTGAAAGTGATTGATTGAAATGTGAGTCCCTGAAACATTTTTGGCAAACGCAATATTGCTGAAATAGGTGTCTGCTTCTCTAACGTGGCTCATTTGAATGTTTGCATTAGCTTATTAGAAAAGCAACGACATTATCTTAAAGTCACATCGAATAAACTGATTGCTGAGATGACATAAAAAAGACTTACACACACACACACACACACACACACACACCAATTTGCATGCTGTTGACACACACACACACACACACACACACACCCTCCCCCAAAAGCAGCTATGCTGGTGAGATCTGAGTTTGACTAAGAAACTCAGTGAGTTCACAATTGAATCACTAAGATTACCATATCTGGATTGGTTGGCTACAAAATAAATATGTGGTAATAATTCTTTAGCCACCGAATCACTGCAGACAAATCAAGAAGACAGAATATACCTACTCCTTGGGGAAATTTCACTTTTGGACTCTGTAAAGCATATTTTCGCTCCAACTTGTGCCATTTTCTACTAACAAATAGAAAAAAAATCAAAGTGGACTGACCCTGAAAAAATTAGTTTAATTTTGCCTTTATTTAGGTAACATATCTTAATAATTTGAGCAAATCAATATAAACAGAAGATTTTTATATTTTATTATTTTTACATAGGTGATGGAAACAACAAAAGATCAAATCAACATGCAACAATTGTTCAACAGGAATATTCAGCGAGCAACATTATTGAAACAGAGTGAACATGATTCAGTTTATCAAAATTAACTTCAGTATCTGGCACATGGAACTATCAACAGAAGAACTTGTGCTTCACCGTTTCATCTCTTGTATAATTCATGTTTCCCCTAAATTTGCTAGTTGTACCTTACACACTGTAGACTTTCAGTGAAGAGTAAGAGTCTTCACTGTAACTGTGGCTGAAGCTCTTAAGTTAAGGTTTTTCCAAAAAATGTTTTTTTTTTTTTTCGGGAAAATATTCCAGGAGGAAAGAAATTTGTTTTTAAGGTAATCTAGCTATCAACCGATGTCTTGAAACCTTAAAATTAACAGTCATTTCAACTAGTTTCATCCTAGCGAGTGTCTAATTAAACCTTGGCAAGATCACTGATTTTATAATATTCACTGGCAGCAATCTCCACATGTTAACTACACACACACGCACACAAATACATTTCTTTTCCTCTATTTAAATCTTCTGCCTGTAAATGCGATGAAATTCTAACATATTATTTTGGGAAATAATCAATATTATTATTCTCCATGAGATTTATTTGGTGGGCCTTTCTTATTGTATTCTTACTCATTTCCTTTTTCCAGAGTACTAAGAGCAATGGGCTTCAATGTTCCATGAAAATGCCCACAAATAATTAGTTAAAATGACTGACTTTGGCACATCATTCATACATCATATAATGGGGAGGGGAAATCCTTAAAGAAAATGCACACAAATAATTCAAGAAAACATATCAAACTTGATGTAAATTCTTTATTTCTTCGTTCATGTCGTGGAGAACATTATCTATCCATATGTATATGTATATTTATATTTATATCTACATCTGTAAATCTATGAGGAACTAACTTGTTCATAAGCATAATCCAAGGGGTTGCTTGAATGTATATAAAGAACACTGATGTGGGATGTAGTTGATCTTGCTTTTAAGTTTTGGCCAACTGCTGAATTGTTATATTGCACAAAATAATTAATTCTTTTGTGTGTTAATTTCATTATTGGCTAAATTTGTCATAACCACTCTATAGGTTATTTGTTACCAAGACTCATATAAGAAATATAAACATACCTTGATGACTATTACTGCTTCTGGTGTTTAAGTTTTGGTGAATAAAAAAAAGTCAGATCAGAAATTCTCAGTTAAGAATAAATTAGTAAATTGAGTATTCGGGTAAAATATTTTCAAAATGTATAGGTTCTAGAGTGACTTTATTTATCATTGCATTATAAACACATTTTTCTGGCCCTTAATTCATGTAACTAAAAGAAAACATAGGCATTTAAAATAAACAAAAATAAAAACATATTTTTAAAATCAATGTTATGATTTTTAAAATAGGTTCAGAAGTTCCATATACCTGAATCTGAAAGGCTTTTGCAAAACTAATCAAACAACCTTCTAAGAAAGGATTTCTTGGCAGGAGTCAAGATTTTTCCAGAACCTTTTTTACGGAGGGATTTCATTGGAGGCTTTTTTAAGGGTAGGACTCTTTGGGGAGTGTGTAGAGCTCTTGCTATCTCCACATGCTCATTGCAGTAATACTTGTTGCTTCCTGCTGACAGATGGATGAGCGTGCGTTCTGCCAGATCCATGCACTGAGCATGGACCCAGTGCCCATCCCCATGAGAACAGTAGATCATGGCGGGTTTGTTCAGCTCGGTTGAATAGAATGGCACCCAAGTGTTGATATCCACGTCACAAGTAGGGCAGCATGTAATCCAGTAGCCTGTCTCAGACTCATCTTCTTCATCATCTTCATTATAGGTGTCAAATTCATCATCACCATCAAAACTATTTGCTTCTGCACTGAAACAAAATTCTTCAGAGTCTTCAAAGGGAGTGGAATCCCCTGGATCTTCTGTTGATGTCTGACTGTTTGTGAATGTTGTTTGCTCTTCATTCATATCATCCTCAGCACATTTCAATGTATAGAAATAGAATGCTTCTGAAACAACTTGTTTATTGTCTCCTGGTATGCCAAGAAAAACAGTTCCATTTCCCATGTTGCTTCCAAACCATATCTTGCTGTGCTTAATGTCTGGGGTCCAATCTGGGGTCTCCATCTCACGAATTTCTATCTTGTTGTCCTCTAAAGAGATTATGTTGCAGATCATTCTTTTTTGGTTTTCAAGCTGATATCCACCAACAATAACAAATTCATCCTTGTTAGTTTGAGTCAGGATTGCACTGGAGACAGAGATTCCTCCTGGCAAGACTGTGCAATTCACAGCTGGGCTACCCAAGGGAAGATCAACCCTTATTCTGTACAGGTTGGCAGGCCGGATATTATTGGCAAGTGAATGTCCTCCTAAAATATAGATGGTATCATTTTTGGCAATAGAGACATGAAAAGATAGCCCATCCTGAAGTTCTGGAAGAATGTATGATGTAGCACACCCAAATTCAAAATCCACCAGGAAAACATGGGGCAGGCAGTCAGCTACACTATTCCATTTTTCTGTGGTTCTGTGGGTAGAAGGCATGTATGAGCGTCCTCCAAAGAGAACACCCATACTTTTCCCTCGGCTATACACCACATTAATGGAATGACCATATCTGGCTTCAGGAACATCGCCGACCAAGTCTTTCTCTGTGCAGCGAAAAGTAACCCTTTTGTTGTTCTTGCAAACAATAGACATGACATAAATCTTATCTGAAAGCTCATTGTTTGGTGTTTTCCCTCCATGGATGATGTATTGATACTTTTCAGAGTCCAAGTCGCCTTTGAATGTGCAAGTAGCTGGGTAGCGAAGAGGAGGGAGGTAGCAGGAATCCTTAGAGAAAATTGTAGGCTTCAGTTTGACATGGTTATGCTTTACATCCAAGTGGAAAACTCCAGTGGGGCAGGATCTTTTGGGCCAGCCTTTTTGGCCAAAGAAGAAAACTTGTCCATCAAAATTCATCAGTGAGAAGCCTGGTTGAATTAAGGCTATGTTATTACTGACTGTTACCATCTGCAGAGACATATTTTCTGATGGCATGTAGATTTTTGTCTGAAAGAATTATAAAATAAAATTACTTAGAGATCGCTTCATATAAATCATCGTATTTAGATTCCTTCGCATGTAAATAGCATTTTTTAAAAGTCCTCCCACACGTTTGCAGTGGGACTGAATGAGGAAAATCCAAGGAGTTAGGGCAGTAAAGAGCCACAGAACCTTTACTGCCATGCCATCCAAGGAGCTGGGACATGTTTTAGCCACGAACTATTCTCCCTAGGATTTCTGGGAATTGTAGTCCTTTTCCTTAAAGAGTCACCACGCGTCAGCTGAAAGAACCACATTTCCCAAGAATCCGTTTTCTCTGGGATGTGTAGCTTTGGAAATCTGTCTTTGTTGCTCTGGAGAGGGGACTCCTGGAATGTGTCTCTGAATAAAGACTAGCGGAAGGTGCGAAGTGACTAGATGGGAGCCAAGGAGGAAAACTAGGGAATGGGAGGTGAGAGTGGCTACACCGACCCAACATCCGGGTTGCCGGAAGGCTGCAACGCCCGGAGCGGTGTCGGGCAAACAGCTACCCTGGTATTGTTGGAGCCTCTCCTGGGGACTTTTGAACAGGTGACCCGGTAGGAAGCACAACTGCTTCTGTTGGAGTGCGGTTGCCTGGAGACCGCAGTCTGAAGGGACTCCCGGCAGAGATGTCGTTACGGTGTCCTGCCTGTCTGGATGCTTAGGAGCGCGACTCAAAATTACACCCCTGAGGACCTCGGAGGTGCTTGGGGCGGGAGGTTGAAGGGGTCACCGAGGTTACAAAAGCGTGACTGTCTTACAGAACAGAAAGATGGGTCTTTGAATCCCTCGAGTGCAGGGGAGACATTGCCTGTTAATGATTTTTACCACTTCTACATTTAGTAATTGAAATACAAAAGGCCCTTTGTTTTCTTCACTGTTTTTACTACTGTTTTTAGGGTTCTTTTAGGGAAGCAGAGAAGGTTCCTAAACACATCTCCTTTTCATCTTCATTCTAGGAAAATAGAGTTAGTGGCTTTTTCACATCTTTCCAGTCCAAAAACTTTTAGGTAATTCTTTAATAATTCTGTAGTAAGAAAGCAGGGACTAAGAAGCGAAATGTTTGAATTATTCAGGATTTCATACTTGTGTTACAACAAAAAGAATATTTACTAGATGAAGGAAGCTTGATAAATTTCTATTTTATTATTGTTTACCTTAGAGAGACGTGAAATACACTGCCTGTTTGCAGTGTGAAGTCCTGTGCACCAAATATTAAAGGAAACAAAATAGTACAGAATACTTGACTTTTAAGAGTTAATTCTTAATGTGGTTCAAAAGCGGTATAAACAATGGCTAAGAGTATGGACTCTGAATGCTTACTGGCTGGATTCAAATCCTGGCTCTGCCACTAACTACATGACTTTGGGCAAGTTCTTTAACTTCTGTGTGCCTCAGTTTCCTCATCTGAAAACTGAGATAATAATTTTACCAACCTCGTATATTGATGTCAGTTATGATTAATAGTTGAATGTACGTAAAGCACTTAGAACAGGGATTTGCACACAGTAGATGATAGTTATTATTATGATTTTTAAAAAATTTACCAAAAAGTAAGGTCTAGTGCATACGCACCTGCCAGTAATGGCAGTTGATAAGGTTGGAGAGGATGAGAAGGGGCTTTAGGATCTGGGAATCAGGTCAATGGGTATAGATAGATAAACATTTGAACTAAAAAGAATTGGATAAACATATATGATGAGGGTGTTGGTATAGTTAATTTATTAACAGAAGATAGTTAATATTTTATTCCTTTTGTCACCCTTTGTCTAACCTTCATTAAATATACAGGCCCTAAAGTTGAATTCTCTGAGTCCAAATTAGGCTCTAACACTTAGTTGCTGTGTAACCACCCTGGGCAAGTTATTTTTCTCTCTGTTATTTTTATCTGTAAAATGGGGATAATCTTGGTATCTATTCACTGGGCTGTTTTGAGAAATAAATGGGATAGCATGTGTAAGTCAAATAGAACAGTGCCTGGCACATAAACACTCAAAAAATGTTAGTCGGTCCTATAATTTATCTAATTTATCTTTATTCCTTCTGCAAAGATTCCTTGAACTATTTAGAATCTCTGGTCACTCTAATGAGATGTTGGTGGGTTTCTTTTTTTTTTTTTTTGCTTTAAGAATTTCTGTAGATCAGCTGTAATTTACTGCTAAATAATCTCTTGTAATTATTATTTTTAGTCTACTTGGGAGACTCCTAAGGGGGTGATCTTTTAACAGTTATCCGGTGGGTTATTAAAGCAGGTGAGGAAATGGTGTCTGAGAAGCATTATTATCAAAGTTATGAAAGCAAGCCTCTCTCCCTCAGTTGTACATTCAGCAACCTGTCCTGCTTAAAAATAATCTGGGCAGTGTTTTATTTATATCATGGCCTACCCAAGCCTACATGAGTGAAGGCATCTGAGAACTATGAAAAATGCTATTCATAGAAAGTAAAAGGAGACCTTATTGACCCTCACTTCAGAAAACTGTAGGTGATTACACTCAGCCTGAGTGATTATGATCAGAGAGTTGTTCCAATTTGGGTAGGGGGAACACTGAAGCCAAGGCCAGCTGGTTTCAAACACTTGTGGTGACCGCTTCTGAGATACAAGGCAAGCCATACAGTGGTAATGGATTCCATTACCACTTGAAAAATCCCACAAAGGGATTTTTCAAGAACACTTACTTTTAAAACTATGTTTTCATTGTCACCCTTTGGTTTCGCTTTAAGGTTGCTGTAGGAATTTTGGCTTCTCATAAGTGAAAACATGATTATTGTAGATTACACAGAAACATTTTCTTGGGCAAGACGTGAGGAGGATTGTCCATTTTTGTAACTTAGTCTAGGCCCTAAAGATTTTTGAAATAGGGCTTTTGACCTGTTTTCCCTTTGATGCCCTGCTTTTGGCTCATTTCATAATTTCAAGGCCCTAAAAACAGTGGTAAAGTTTCTTATTGCTAAGATGAATTACCTCCTCTTGTAACACAGTTAAGGTGTGAGTAATTTTTAGATTACTCACTTTAACCAGATGATGTATGCATTTAAAGAATAAACAGGAATATGGAAAGTGTTTTCACATTATTTTGCCCATTTAGTTTTTGAAATTTTGCTTTATTGACTTGAATATATTTTTCACTGGAGTAGACTATTGTTTCTCTTCCATGGTTTCAATATGACTGTATTAGTCACATCTTGGTTTTTAAAAAGAGTTTTTGAATGATTATACTATATCTAAAATAACCAAAAAAAGTATTTTCCTTTTAATAGGCTATATAAAACAGACAGATTTAAAAAAATGAGACCGTGTTCTTCAGCTGAGAGAGGTTTCAAGGTCAACACATTAAAGATTCTTTGTAAAGGACAGAAATATAGGACCAATAAATATATACAATTTTCCCAACCCCATGCTAACATTCTTCAGCAGGGAGATTTTCATTTATTCACTGTGATGCTAGGGCATAGTTGAGTATAATAAAAGGACTCATGATATGAGGTCTGGGTTTATAGTTCCCCACATCTGAACCGACTTTTTCTTTTCCAAAGAAAGATACTGTACTCTGAAACATTAAATCTTGCTGATCCGTGCTGGCCATGTTTTCCTGATTGCTCCAGAGTAGCAGGTAACCTCATGTAAGTAACTTCAGGCATTTAATGTGTGAATAACACTATCTTGCACTGTTAATCAGGTTTGAGGCATACATTATTTTATTTTTGCTGGCAGTAAAAGCAGGATTAGATCTTCCTTGCTATACTTAGGCCAGAGAACGATTTATGTACTAAGATTAATAATAGTGCTCTAAAGGCCTAAGAATTAAATCCCTGAAGCTGCCAGAGAACAGAAAGCCCCACATTTTCCAAATTCTACTCATCCCTTCCCTATCTGGATACCAAATCCATTTGTAACTAACACACTGTCAAAGTGTGGCATCTTCATTCCCTTAAAGTTTATGAACATAGGCTCCCATTTTTTAGCTTTGGTAGAAATGAAGGTATCAGACCTACCTGAAAGCCAGAGGGGCTGCTCACGCCTCTCTGAATCTTTGCCGCTAAACCAGGTATTAATTGTCAGCACCTGGGGAAGATTCACTGACTGCGCACTATGACTGTGGCAAGCAGAAGGCTGAGTGTAAAGAGAGTGTGTATGTGTGCCTGCTTTTTTTTTTTTTTACACTGATCTAATGGGAGTAACTGACTATGACCTTTTTTTTTTTTTTCTCTCTCTCTCTCTCTTTAGATGGTTGAGGGAGTTACCCACCAGGGTGTACCCTCAGGATTTAACTATTTCACTACTAGCAAAAATGGCAACACAATTCACTATTTGTAAAGATAAAAAGAAATCTGGTCAAAACTTGATTTTTAAAAATTAAAAACATTTTAGAAAAACACAGAAGAAATGCATACAGTTTCTGTGGTTGAAATAAATACTATTTTGAATCAAATGAGAAATTATTTGTCCTAAAGCAGAGACCACTAATACCAATGCTATTCATTTTAACTTTGAAGTGCGCTTTTGTGGTCTCATTTTCTTTAATGCAAGAGTCAGAAGGAAAGAGTTATAATTATTCAAGGCCCTCTACCAACTTTATATCAGGCAGCTACTGTGTAATAATACAGTTTAATGATTAAGAAAATGGGCTTTGGGGTCAAGCTCACCTGGTTTTCTCTGCTAGCTCTGCTATTTTTTGAGGTAAAGTCATCTTAATACTTAAGCCTTTGTTTCTCTGTCTCTGAAATGATGATAATAGAAATATTTACTTCAAAAAGCTGTTGAGAAAAGATTAAATGAGATAATGTATGTAAAGTGTTCAGCCAAGGAAGAGATTAATATTCCATAGTGATCTGGATAGCAAAAAATTACCTTTATAATTTTTACCTTTTTTTATTTTTTATTTTTTTGAGATGGAGTCCCGTCTGTCTCCCAGGCTGGAGTGCAGTGGCATGATCTCGGCTCACTGCAACCTCTGCTTCCCAGGTTCAAGCGATTCTCCTACCTCAGCCTCCCAAATAGCTGGGATAACAGGCACATGCCATGACACCCAACTAATTTTTGTATTTTTAGTAGAGATGGGGTTTTACTGTGTTGGCCAGTCTAGTCTCAAACTCCTAACCTTGGGTGATCTGCCTGCCATGGCCTCCCAAAGTGCTGGCATTACAGGTGTGAGCCACCTTGCCCAGCCTATAATTTCTAATAGTAGCATAACATTACATTAAGTAAATGTAATATAATTTACCTGACCTTCCACTGTTGTTGGTCATTTGATCAGTTTCCATATGGCTGAGGTGATAAAATGTAGTGAACAGAGGTAGGCAGATCTGGGTTTGAGTTTCAATGTTGTGACCTTTTTGAGTGTCAGTTTTCTTATCTCTAAGATGGGAGTAGTAATTACCTTGTTTTAAGGCTTAATGGATTAAAATGTCTAGTATATAGAATGTATACAGTAAATCTTACCTAATGAAGATGCTGTAAATATATTTGTATAGTGACTACTTTAATTTTTTTGCAAAATTTTAGTGTGTATATTTTCAGGGTTGATTTTTTTTTTTTAAACAGATGTGTGTAGTTCAATTGCTTGGTTGATTCTCATCATTTGAAATGTCGACCCATCCTTTAAACAGCATCATCATCTCTTCTAGTGCCTTCCATGATGATTTTTTTAATCTGCAAAAGGATGTTGGGTTATTTCTCTAACCTATTTATGTGTTTTATGTATA